CTGCTCAAACTTAGAAGCTTCTGGCTCTGCTCAGAGACCAGGCCCCTGAGCCTTGGCCCTGCCAGGCAGCACCCTGCCCCGCAACGTGATCCTCCCTCAGGAAGCCCCCACTCCAACTTTTTCAGGGGCTTCGAGTTTCCTTGTCCTTGTCAGTCTCTCAGCCACCAGCTGTCTTGGCCTGTCCTCCACCTACCCCAGCTCTCCATGTGTGCCCCTCTGAGCCCCCCGGGCTCCTCACGTCTGTCTCTAGACTCAAAGGCAAGCCGATCCAGAGAGGTACAGCTGTAAAGCATTTGTGCTGGCCGCCAGGCTGGCGGGGGAGCCATCTGCAGCCGGGTAGCTGCCAGGCCTAAAATGACGGGAACCCTGGGCCTCAGCCCAGCCCCAATCTTTCCACCCCAAACCCCCAGCGCAAAATAACGCCTCTGTCTATCAAGGCCAAGGAGGCCAGGAGTGAGGGGAATGACCTTGAGGCCTCTGCAGGAGACAGGGGATAGGCACAGTCAGCCCCTACTTGGCAACCTACATCTGAGTTTCGCGTGGAGGTTGGGAGGTGGTTCTAAGCTGGAAGATTTCCCACCCAAGGCTCAGTGCAAGACTTGTCCTCAGCCGGCCACCACCCCAGCACGACCCTCCGTGATTAACAGAAAAGTTCCCAGGCCAGTAGCCTGGAGAGTAGGGAGAAGGGAAAGAAGGACTCTCTCTTCCAGCCCCAGTGAAGAGGAAGCCCCCCACACCTCCACTTCCCCTTAGTCTATGCCCCCTTCCCCCTCCGGAGGGAGGACGTTGAGTGAATGGACTGCTGAAACAGACCTCCGGCCATGGCAGACCCATCTGGTTTCAATCAAGAGAGCAGGTTCCCAGATCGTGGAAGGCACTTGGGGGAGGGAGGCCGCAGCCTCATTGTGCGCCCCAGCAGCCCTCCCCGGAGTGCGGCCTCTGTCTTATTGGTCACCTTCACCTCCCGATAGACCTCATATACAGCCACCAGAAGCCTAGGTGAGGCAGAGAAATCTGCCTTTGCCTACCCAAATGTCTAATCACAGACGTCTGTCCATAGACGTCCAGAGCACAGAGGGGACAAGGGAACCTGAAGGAAAGAAGGAAGCTGGAGGGAGGAAAATGGGCTGAAAACACAGAGACTTGGAGCGAGTAAAGGTCCTAGAAACCAAAAGGTTCCAGCTGGACCTTATTACAAATGGGGAACCGGAGGTCCTGAGGAGGAAGTCTAATAACACCATTTACTGAACTTGGCCCAAGCCCTATTGAGGCATTCTGCCCACTAGTCTTCATAGGCACTCTGTAGGTAGGAATTTCCACCCCCATTTAACAGATGGGAAAACTGAGGCTCACCAGAGTGAAAGGTCTTACCTGCCTACCCTCACCCAGGTGGTAAGCGACCAGATCTGTTTGATTCCAGAGTCTGGGCACCCGGCTGCCCTCCAGGAGGTCGAGGCTGCCTCAGTGGCCCATGCCCCATGGCCACCATTTTGCCTTCCCTACTGTCTCCAGACTTGGACCAGGTATGTGTCCGGTTCTGGAGAAATCTACCCTCCCCAACCGGGGCCTGCTCTGGTTCTCCAAACCTCACCCTCCCAGCCCCAGCCTCTGATTCCAGGCCCAGGGTAAAAGGATACGAGCCTGAAAAAAACAGCCTCCCCGGTCATGGCTCGGTGCCAGGGTTCTAATCCTGCCTCTGGTTGACCTTGGCTCCTGGGCCTCAACTTCCCCGTGGATAAAACAGACCGGTTGTGTAAAACTGGGTTGGACAGTGATTCTGTGGTTCCCCAACCCTCCATTCCTATCATCCTGTACAAACCTAGAGGTTTCCCCTTGGCTTGGGTGGTCTTTAGAAAGAATGTTCTGACCCCAGTTTCAGAATTTAGAGCTGGCAAAGGGGCCAAGGGAGGAGGGGACCCAGCCAGCCGAGGACGCTGCTAATCTCCATCTCTGCCTGGGGGGCTTCACTGCCGCCTCCACTGAAAGCAATTTGTCATGCCCTGAATTAAGTGATTCCAACAAGGGTTTAATTTCAGTTTAATGGCTCTGTTTTTATGTGTAATTAAATACCATTGCATGGCGAAAATATGTTGTTTGCACTTTAGAGAGTATGTAAGGTCCAGGAAGCCAGTCCCACCGGGTTTCTACTCCCAGGCCCCACCAGCCCCTCCTCTAGTCTGGCTGGAATTATCCAGGTCCGGGGAAAGGGTTGGAAACTTGGCGAAGACAGGGGGTCAGCGAGGAGAGAGGTGGTCCTGGTGGGGCCTGCTCACTCAGTAAAGCATGTTTCTAATTATCTGCAGCACCACTCCCTTCTACTCCCCGACCCCAACCCTCCACAACCCCTGAGGCCTCAGATATAAAGGAACAGGTCACCCTGACAGTGAGGGTCTAATTAGACCCGTGGCTGGCTGGAGTAGTGTCTGTTCCCCGCTGTGAGTGCGCCCAAAGGGGCCCCATTGTCTCCACTTACTGTTCCTATTAACTCCCCATCCCCCACCCTGCATGTGCTTCCTCCCCATTGACCCTCTCCCCTGACTCCTCACCAACCCCTTCCTCCCCTCTTCCCAGTGAGGACTCCACATCTCAGCTGCCAGCCTGCCTCCCAGCTCCATCCAACCACAGCGTCTTGACTTTCTCTTTCTAGGTCAGAGGTGACATTGCCATAGGGGTCTGGAATGCAGGCAGCGTTTCTCTAGCTGGGAATGTTTCAGGGTCATTTACCACACAGCCATATCGCCCCCAGGAAGGGGGGCCAGGCAGGCACCCCAAGTCCTGCGTGCCTCATAACATTCCTGGAGCAGCTTGGTGGCGGAATCTGGCCCAGGAGGCAGAGGAGTTGAGACAAGACGCCTTTTCCTGGAAGGAGTTGAAGCTATAGCAGTGGCTGGAGCCTCAGGGCTCTGATTAGAGGAGGGGCCGGGAGGCTCGGTCAGTTCTCCAGTCCCCCAGCTGAATTCAATACTGGAGTCAGCCGCAGCCTCCATTTTTTTCCTCCCTACTCCCACGCTGCCTTCTTGACAATGGAAAACCCAGCCCCCAGCCCACATCAGGTCTTGATTGCCACTAATGAGCTGGGAAATGGAAACCAAATGCCTAATGTGGATCAACACCAATGAGCTAGGGGATCTGGAGGGGTGCCCCCACCCCCTTGCTTCAAACCATAGTCGGGGGAGGTTGAAGCCATTTTAGGGGGAGGCAGGGCAGAGTAATCCAGGGCTGTTGTTTTAAGTTTAGCCAGGTATGGTGGCCCCACCAGGACATAACAGTTTGATCCTTGCCACCTCCTCCTTTCTACCTCTGCCAGAGATGCTGACGCACCTGTGGCAACTGGAGTGAGCATTTGAGGGTATCTGGAGGCTGCCGTGGGAGGGCCTAGGTGCAAACAAAGCCAACAAGTTCACCCTGGAGCCCGGTTCTCCCCACCATGATACTGCCCAGGGCGGTCCACGTTGCCCAGGAGGGTGTCCACATTGATACCGAGCTGCCTTTATTTCCTTCTTTTTCAACCTAGGACCTGGCTCTAGGATCGTGGGGGCAAGCGCCAGGGGTGAGGGGCAGTGTGGAACTCCCCCTCCCACCATACACATCCTCTCTTCTCTGACACTAGACAGCTCCCCACAAACCCTGCAGTGGGGACACCTAGTGAGAGAGGGTCACTCAATCACAACCTGAAGTGAAATACATGCTCCGAATTTTCACTCCCTCTCTCATCTCACGCGCATTCGGTCAGATTCATACAGCCCGCGTACAGACTCATCACACAAATGCACTCATCGGCACACACCCAGACCAGGTATACATGCCCTGTAAAAGCCGGTACTCTCACGCGCATTTCAGGTATCACTTGGCTATATCCACACACATGCACACAGGCCATAAGTATACACATGTCGCAAAATTACATCCATATATACAGCTACTTCCCAAGCAGGCCCTGCTTTTTCTGGAGGCCCATGAAAGGAAAAGGGCCACCTACCACCTGCTGCCAAGGGTGCAAGGTCAGAGCATTGAGATGGAAGGCTGGAGACAAGGGGGATCTAAAGAGATATTTTCTCTACATTTGGCAGCCTACACCCACCTCCTATCCCAACATGCCTTGGCCTTGGCCCCAGAAATAGGGAGGGGGCTTTATGAAGAGTAGCCGGGGAGCTGAGAGAGCAAACCTCAGAGACCACCAAGTCAGAGCTAGAGAGATGAATGAGGATTGCTGCCCCAGACTCAAACTGCAGACAGCACAGGTGCCAGCACATCAGGGGCCAGAGAAATCAGGAGGTCTGGGAGTGCCTCTGAGGAGGAGCTGGGAATCCAGGAGACTGCCCGACAGGAGGGCACTGCCCCACAGTGCAGCAGCTCAGTGTGCAGAGTCGCCAGGCTGACTGTGAGCCCCCAGGAAGAGGGCCCCACCCAAGAAATCAGTACCTGGCACTGAGGTAGGGGAGACGGAGGGACACTGGGAAATGACCAGAAATCCAGACATACCACATAGGCACCAGTTCGGGGACTGGCACCCAAACCTCACCACCTGGTGTGCTCAGGACAGCAAGATCAAAGATGACCCCCGCTCCCAACCCCTCAGAATCAAATCTCAGCACAACCTCCAGTCAGAAATCCAGGCAGGCAGAGCAATGGAATGTGGTAGAAAGTTTACTCCCTTCCCCCAACTTTAGGGCAGTGCCTCCCCCCACTAAATTAACAAATTGAGCTCAGATGAAAACCCAATCGGCCCGATACCCTAAAAAATGCCCCGGCTTCACACACCAGCTGATCCAAGAAGTAGTTCTGGCCCAGCAAGGTCATCCTGGCTCCCTCCCTTCAGAAGCCATTATTTCCCCAGGAGACCCCCTAGGAAGAAGCTGCAAGGAGAGGAAGGTGAATGGCTGACCCTTCGCTGTCCTCTTACCCTGTAGGACAGGCCTCCCCACCCCTGATACATCCGTGTCTAATTATAAATAAGTCAACCAAACACAATTGTCTAGGGTTTGTTTTGTTTTGTTCTGTTTTGTTAAAAAAAAAAAAAAAAAAAGACAAGACATCATGGCCAACTGGTAGGTCCCTCCATCTCCTTCCATCCAGTCAAGCCAGAAAATGCCCAGGGGTAGGGAAGTATAGGGGAGTGAGGTGCAGGGAAAGGAGGTGTGGGGAGGGAAGCAGAGCCACTCGCTGTGAGCCACTGAAGGATGGAGTCATCCTTGTGACCTCATGGCTGACCACAAATGGAAGGAAGCAGGACCCCAGGCAAGTCCCTCACCCCCCAGCATGCCAGTCCCCTTCTCCTTCAGGCACACGCAGTCCGATCACGCATTCTCTCCCCTGACCCTGACTGCACAGAGATGGGCCTCACTGCCCCAGCCCTCTGTCCTGAAGGCCTACCTCTGACCCTCTTCCCTCCCTCATAGCAAGGTCTCAATTGCCAGGCAACCAAGCAGATGGCACAACACCCAACCCAAAGGTAGGTAGGTCCTCTGCAGGTCCTTCCCCCTGGAGGGACCTGGGGAAGAAGGAAAGAGAAGCTTGGCAGTGGGTCTGGTCTTCTGACCACTGAGCCATCTGCTACCCCACACCTTCTCTGTGGCCTCCATTCTCTAACTAGATTGAGAGGTCAAGGTACATGTCTACTTTCCTCCTCTGATTATGGGAATGGGACTTCTCTTCTCCCACAGATTTGTGTTCATCTTAGGAGGTGGCCCCACATGTCCAAATCAGAAAAAGTCAGAATAAGAGACCCCAGGGCTGAAAACTAGAGTTGGCATGTAATATGTAGTCAATAAATGTTTTTAGATGGCTGAATGAACAAATGAATGAATGAATGAATGAATCCAGGATCAATTTGGAAATATACTAGGGCTCCCCATTGCCACTCTCAGACCTCTCAGGCTATCTAAGCCCAAAGAGGACACCTCCAGGCTCCAGCTCACCCCAAGAGCACACCTATGCTCATAAAAACACACACACACACAAACACACACCCCAAGGGAAACTTCTTGGCCAGAGGCAGAGCTAGGACTCAGTCCCAGGCTCCAGGGCAGCTCTGCAGCCTCTAGGGAAAGGGGGAGCAGGGAGCACTGAGCCCCCTGCCTGCTGGTAGGGCTCACTCTCGGAAGCTGTCAGCCAGCTGGTGGCAGTCCAGCTCCCCCTTCGGCTCCAGGCCCCCCGGAAGCTTCACCCCCGTCTTCCGGTCCACACACCAGCACTTGCCGCGCTGCCCATCCAGGGCCGGGTGGCACTGCCAAGACAAGGGCATGAAAGGTCAGTTCCCAGGCAGCAGGCCCCACTCCCAGCCCCCAAGTCAGACAGTTGCTCCAAGATGGCCTCTGAGGGCGGAGGCTCTTTTATGAGCACAAGTTCTCTGAACTCACTGGAATAGAGAGAATTTGGCCAAGAAGAAAGGGTCCAGAGAGTTTTAAAAAGGCAGGAGCTTTTAAAGAAAGTTCTATAGTCTCCTGGAGGGGAGACTGGATCCACAGGAATTACAGGTGCAGCTGGATTTGAAAGGCTAAGGTTCAGGTTGGAGATGTTTCGAATGCGTTCTAATTGGGTTGGGATTTTAAGGATGGGATTATGGTCGTGAAGTTAAGGTAGCATCAGGATAAGAGTTGCAGTTGAATTGGGATTTCTGACTAAAACTTGAGTTGGGTGAAGCTTAGAGTCCAAGTCAGAAATAGAATCAAGATAGAGGTCAAGGGGAGAACATTTAAAGCAGTGAGGCTAACGTTTGGGTCAGGATTGGACCAGGAGGAGGGAGAGCAGTGGGCAAAGGTGTATTTTAGAATCAGGATTAGAGTTGGAGTAAAGTTTGTCTCAAGGGTCAGAACTGGTCCAGGGATAAAGGGTCAAGTGTCAGGACTTTCAGTAGGATAAAAATTAAGGGGAAAAACCCATAGAACTGTTCAACACAGAGAGTGAACCCTAATGTAAACTATGGATTTTAGTTAATAATAATGTATCAATATCAGTTCCTCAATTGTAACACACGTACCACACTAATAATGCAAGATGCTAAGAGGGAAAACAGGGTGGAGGACTAGATAGGAACTCTGTACCTCCTGCTCAATTTTTCTGTAAACTTAAAACTGCTCTAATAAATGACATCTATTATTATTATTTTTTTTAATTAGAGGGAAAAGTTTTTTAAATTTGAGACAAAAATAAAATTCGTGTTGGGATAAAGGTTGTAGGTAGGTCTGGCATTGTTTTGGGGTGCCCTCCATGGTCCTCCACTCCTTGCTTACCACTCACAACCTGCTCCAGGATGGGATGTGCAGACTCGGGCAGCTTTTCTCTCCCAGCCTAGGCCTCTGTTGGCTGAATGACAACCCACTTTGTGGGTCTGTCTAAAGAGCATGAAGTGTGAGAATGTGTGTGCCTGTGCCCACAACGAGCTGGAGAAGAAGATCCAGGCCATGGCTCCCCAGGCCACACCCAGCAGGAGGCACCCCAGTGCCCTGCCAAGATATGCCACTCTTCCACGTGGGTCCAATTCTGACCGGCCAGACATGGGACTGGAGCAGGCCAACCTTCTTGAATATCCCAGCTTCCTGGGGGCGTGTCAGAGGAACCCTAAGTTCCAAGGGTATGAAGGAGCACAGAGATTTCTATATGCATGTCTTGTCTCCTGTCTGTATCAGATCTGGCTTTATCTCCATCCTGGTTCTACCCCAAGTGGTTTGGCTGCTCATCTTGAGGGAAGGGGCAGGCTGAGTTTCCTCCTGAATCTCTCATGACTCAGCCTCTCCATTCTCAGGTGAGACCTCAGACATTCCATGACAAAGGATAACTAATCATAAGAAGGGAGTTGGGTGCATGACAGAATGCTGGGGGGCAGAGGTTGGCGGGAATGCTAGGTCTACATCACAGATGGTGAATCAAGAGGCAATGGAAATAAGTCCTGGATGGGGAGGCAGGATAATTGGGCTGCCATTAACTCATTCTGTGACTTTAGGCCTCCACCTCCTCATTTCCAAAATGAGTGAGGCAAGCAAAATGAGCTGAGGTTCTAAGGCTGGAGGAGGGCTTGGGGAGGGTCCTAGGGGTTAAGTGTGGGTTGGGGAGCCTCCCCCTTCCTGAGACCTCCATCCTGGACAACCTTGTGGAGAGGCCAGAAATGCCTCTGGAGCGGAGGCCAGGGCCAAGCAGAAGGGAGATGGAGACCCACCTGCTTGGGGTGGAAGTTGCCATTGCGGTCGCAGTTGGGGATGGGGATGATGTAGAGGTCCTCGTGGGTGCGGCTCTGTGAGGCGGCCAGCCTCTCCAAGGCCCGGTGCAGCTCGCTCTGGCAGGAGCCCTGGGGCTGGAGGAGAGGGAAGATGAAACTGCTCAGCAGAAGGGAGAGAGGGAAAGGAGAACCAGGGTGGGGGGTCAGATCAGGACTGAGGCCCTGTAGAGAGAGCCAAGGCCTGGAGGCTGGGCAGGGCTCAGTGAGGTGAAGGGCATGGCTTGGGTTCAGGGGACACTGGTGGGAAGAGCAGAGAGACATTAAAGAGAGTCTCTTGAGCCAAAGAGCTTCTAAAAAGAAGAGAGCTGTAAAGTGAAGGGACCTTGTGGGGACTGGGGCTGTGGATACCCATGGAGAAGGACTGGAAGGGGGTAATTCCGAAGCAGGGGAATGGACAAAATCAAACGATCAACCCAGGCTCTGAGCTATCAAAACCACCAGGAGAAAGGACATTAGCCAGACCCTGGGGCAGGGTCCCAAGGCCCTCTGCTATGGCCAGCATTAACCTTTGAGAAAGTCTGGGGTGGAGAATCTAAGAGAAGGGCCATGAAACATCTGGAGGCTTGGGACAACCGCCATTAACCAACGAGCTCAGAAGTATTTCAGTATTTAACAATCACTTCAGCTGTACCAATGTATAGAACTGATGAGCAGAAATGGAATTTCAAAGAAAGAAATGAGGACTCTCTGTGTCCCGGTGACGCATACTAGGTGCGACTTGCACACAGTAGGCATCCCAGAATGTTTTCTGAATGAATGTCTTGATCTGGTAGTGGTGGCAGTGGTGGTGTACGTGCCTGTGCACAGGTGCATTTGAGGTCAGAGGTCCTTACCATAGGCCGTGTTTCCTCCCGGGGCACCCCGATAACCTTCATCTTGCCCCCACTGGTGCTCCGGTCTCGAATTTTGGCAAAGTGCTTCTGCAGGCACCTGCGGTCATGGGCGCTGCAGGGGCTGAAGCTGTTATTGGGGTGGTCACCTTCGTCCTTGTCTGCAATCAGGCCAAGATGGGGAGAGGTCAGCACCAGGAAAGGACAGGGCAGCATACCAACCCAGCCTCCCACCTACTTTCTGCTTCTCGGACATTCTCCAGCCTAGCACTAGGGAAGAGCAGGGGGTCCAGGGGCAGGAAGAAAAGAAAGCAACACACTGGTTTCCTGCCCACTCCCCTGGATCTCCTCAGGCGAATATTCCTCTCGAAGTCCTTGACTTGTCCCTCACCCCACCCAGTCCAGCTCTCAGATGAGTCACCAGCTGCAGTTGCCCAGACAGCAGGAGGGTCCCCTGGGCCCTGTAGGGAGGTCTGAGGCAGGCAGGGGGTCCCCCTACTGGATCTTACCTCCCTCTATGCAGCTCCTCTTACCATCCCCTCTCCCTCTGCTCTCTCTTCCTGTCTCCTTTCCTGCTCTTTTCAGCAGCTGGCTGAGCCAGCCAGGGGATCCCTAGGGCTGTCAGCTCTGTTGACCCTCTTCCAAATGGCCAAAATCAAAGTTTCCATGAGTGATGAGAAAATTGGCCCAAAAGGCTCTCCCCATTAGCTGGATGGGAGAGAAGAGTAAATGTGTATGCCTGCATGTGAAACTCGTGTGTGTGTGTGTGTGTGTGTGTGCGCGCGCGTGCGTACATGTGCATACACATGTATAATGCTGTGTGGCCCCAGAGCCAAGAGAATACCCTCTGCATCCCTTCAGTCTCCCACCCTTAGACTTCAGACCTCATCCAAAGTCCATGTTTGTTGCCCAGAGCCACTGGGCGTTGGGAATCTAGAGATTGGGGTGGTGAGGCTGGACCTCCACCCCCTCCATGGGACCTCATGAAGACTTTATTTGAACTCAAGAAAAACCCAGTCCAGAAGTCCCAGGACTGTAACTGCTGCTCCTCCCTCTAGGCAGCCAAAACCAGAATACAGGGCTGAGCTGGAGAAAGAGGTTGTGAGACCTCTCCACAGATCAGAGCCACCTCTGAAATGCTCAGGCTTGGCAGCTCACTGCCTGCCTGAGAGCAAAGCCCCTGCCAGCATTCCAGATGTTGGCAGCCAGACAGAAGGTTACATCTGGTTTGCGTCAGGATTTTTTTTCCCGAGGAGTTAGCAGGTTCCTCTATGCATGGCAGCAGTCCCAGAGCTGCCTCTGGGTCAAATGGTATTTTTCCGCCTAGCCAAAGTGAGTTGGGGGATTAGTTCTCTTTTTATTCTCCTAGTTCTGGGGTTTTGTAGAAAAGTATGTGGATAAAGGGAAACTAGGCAAGGAAGAACTGAGACCCTCAGAAAGTCTCTGTCAAGATTCCACACCAAAGGTTATTTATAAAACTGAGTCACCGAGAATGGGAAGAAGGCTTTGTCACGAGTGGAGGGCTGGCTTAGAAAGAGGAACCAAAGGAAAGGAATAAATGGAGCAGAAAGATGTACTCCATCCTTTTGCATATTTAACATCCCAAGGAGATTAGTCTGGAAGGGCCTCTTGACCTAGAGATGACATCAAATTCTTGAAGGTCGTTCAAGGAGAAGACGTTGCAACAAGACCTCGCAGCTGATAGGGGTGGCAAAAGAAGGGGCAGATATATTTCAGAAGACCAGGATCGTGTCGAGGGGGTCCTCGGTCAAGAGCCAGAGAAAAGATCTGGGATCCAGACTCTTCTCTGAAGACTGTCCCAAGGAGTCTTTCTGGCCAAAAGAATCCAGGCTGGCCAGTGACCACACCTCCATGTCCATGTGGCACAAAACCATGAGATTTGCGGATGGGGTCAAAGTGTTTCAGAGGTGTAGCCTGAAGCTGGGGAATGGAGAGAACGAGGAAATGGAAGACCTACAAGAATTAGAGCCAAACCATGCAACGAGAGAGGCTGAGCTGAGATGTAAACAAAGGCACCACCGCTTTGCCTGGGAAAGGCTGGAAGGGATCACAAGGACTCGTTCGCCACAGCCCACAACACCAACTCGAGGGGCGCCCTTCGAACCTGGCAAGGTTTTGTTGTCTTTCCTTTGAGTTTCTTTTCTTTTCATGACCATAAAGGAAAGCACTGCTTTGCACAGTGACACTTACTTCTCTTGGTAAATGAGCAGAATGTTCTTAGGTTTGAGGAGTAAGGAAGAGTTTTCTAAATGAATGGGGCATCCTCAGAAGGTCGAGAGCCAGTGCCCTAGAGGCGTGGAGCTTCTCAGTGGTTGAGGCCTCAAAAGTCTAGAGAGATCTGGAGTAGAAGTTCAACTGCAACCAGGCTTTCCATTGTTGAGTTTCTATGAGTCTAAGTTCACAAATGACTAATGCTCTGGAGATTATGGATATTTAGAATGTTTATGCCTTAACTTAGGAGGTGCCATTAAGGAGCACAACTGGGTCTGCTCACTGAAACCTGGGGTTACATGGAGCCTGGAATCATAGCTTATGCTCTTGTGTTGGTAGGGCCCCACGTCACATAGAGGAGGCTATCTGGGGAAGCTGAGTAGGCAGCATGCCTGGCTTCCCCCTTCATGGTTTCCCTGCTGCCCAGCACTCTCATGCCTAGAACACGCCAAGACATGGAGAGTAGCCTTCTACTTACTTTCATGGAGACACGGGTCCACAGAATATATCCATATCTGCCCACTCAGACACAGACAAGCTCAGACTCAAGAATCACAGACATATGCAAGCAGTCACGTGTTCAGACACACACTCATCCACGCGTGCATACCCACATGCACTCAGGCACTCTGACCCGGCCCTGGGCCGAGACACAGACCTAGGGCAGGGCACTCTGTTTGTACCCTGGCTTGTTGATTTTCCATTTAATCTGTAACTTTTCCTTGCCCAGCCTTGCTTACCAGCAGACTGAGGACCCGCCCCACAATCCACCCCTCGGCACTAGCTTTGGAAGGGTGAGGGTTGTAGCCTTGGGTCTCTGGAAAATGTTAACCTTCCCATCTCCAAAACTGGCTAAATACTTGCTACTTCTTTCTGTTCGTGCAGGATGGTGCCCTCTGGAAAACCCCACTCCTGGTGGGTTCCCCTGTGAGGGGGAGCTGGAGTCAGATGTAGCCCCCTGAAAAGGTCTGACCTCTTGAATTCCAAAAGGTTTGGTTGGGAGGTGGGGCTTCCAAGGCAGGCCAGGTGATCTCCTCTTGCCCTGCTTGGAGCAAAGCCAATGACGTGCAGCCACAAGAGAAAACTTGGTCTTTGCTCCAGCAACAGAGGAAGGGAAGGCATCCAGAGAAAGAAGAGGTTTCACAGCTTTGGTACCACTGGCTGCCAAATTCATGGTCAAAGCTAGATTTCTTCTTTCTTGCTGTTGGATTTCATCCCCATGATTTCTCCTCAACTCCAGCCCCTGCCCTATCCAAGACAGCCAAGGTGACGCTGTGAGATGGGTGGGCTCAGCCACCCAGACGCAGAAGTTTCAGGCATGACCTGAAAGGGTCACCCACCTGTCCTAAAAGAAAGGCCTTTTCTCTCTTCCCCCTGGACTCTGGCTGGAAAAGCCAAGACCACCATGCCGGGTACTGGGCCCTTTCTTTGAGTTCTGGCTCTAGGGGCATCCCCCTCACTGTGTGACATGCTGCTGGCCTCAAGAGTCAGATAGAAAGACAGGTGGCCTGTTCTTCCCATGTTTACAGCAGCAAAAGTCACCAAAGTCCACCCTACCCCTCTCAACTCCTCTGAACGTCTCCCCAGCTTTGCTCGCCTGCCCTCCCATCCCCCAAAGTCTCAACGTCAAAGGAGGATTTAAGCTTCCACTGAATCCACTCAGCTTCTTCCTCATCACCACCCTCATCATCGCTCCAATTTATTGAGCTCTTACTCCATGCCAGACACCCCAACCCTGTGAGGCAGGTCCCAGTGTCATCCCCTTTTTACAAATGAGGAAATGAAGTAGGCTGGGTGGAGGGGAAGGAGGAGAGACTTATCTCTGCAGCTCCTGCATCTTTAAACAAAGATTCCTGATACCCGAGGCACCAATAACTCTGGCTTTGCCAATACTAAAGAAAAAATGTTAAGCAGCCATGCTCCTCCCTTCCCCCTCCCCCAAGACACAGAATTTCTGGGAAGGCGCTGTTCCCAAGACATGACTGGATTCCCAGTACTGAAGTAGGGGGGACAATATTTGCTGCGTTGACTAAAAATTAACCCAGCCTACATGTTCCCTAACCCTGTCCCAGCGGGACCGAGAGCTGAGTTTCGGAACTCCCCAATCCAAACACTGATCCCACTGTCCACTCCCCCAGATTCCATGAGTCGAGGGTCAGTGCACTTATGCAGAACTGTGGACATCTGACGCACATGTCCCACCCCACCTCCACCTCTGGTGGCCTTAGTGGTATTCATCCACAACATTGTCTGGCTGGGAAAGCTGGGACAGGAAGGCGGGTGGGGGGGGGCGGTTATTAGAGATGGAAGGAGGAGACCTGCCCCTGGGGCAAATAGTAGACAGCTGGACCATACCAGTTCAAGGGAAAGGGGATACCAAGAGGCTGCCCTCCCCCAGTCACCTGCTGAAGCTCAGCCCCAAGACAAAAAAGCAGAAAGAAGATCCTGATCCCTCTGTCAAACAAGGGGCTTAGGTTCCCCAAGCCTTGGGACCTAGGAGGGACAGCAGCCTATTGACGGTGGAAGGCTAAAGAGAATACCAGGGATAGGGGCCAAGCCCTGGACATTTTCTTACCAACGACCTTGCAGAGTCTCTGCACAATTCTAGGGGGCACTTTTCACATGGTACAATGTGGCCTAGGCCGTGGCAAGGGGTACTTCTGTGATAACTTGGGGGTAAGCGGGCATGGAACAGCTTGCCAAGTAGGTACCTGGCACCTAGTTTCCCCAGGGTTCCCCAGACTTCCCCTTTCCCTTTCCGGATAGCTGCATGCTCTGCATGAATGGTGGACAAGGCAAGGAAGGAGCGGGGAGGAACATCAGAGACCTGGGCCCTGTCATCCAAAGGGGACCTAAAGCCGCCTTTAATGGCTGGTGTGCATGATATCCACAGGACAATCACAAAATGTTCAGACCATGTCCCCCCCCCCAAAAAAAAAAAAAACTCCTAAGGAAACAGATTTTTCTCCTCTACAGGATGGGGTGTTCTTACTCAGCCAAGGAAAAATGGGTGCCCAGGACCCTCTGAGGGCTCTTCTGCCCCATGTTCAAGTTCATAGGAGAGGAAGAGGCTACCAGCCATCCTAATCTGGTGCCAGATACCCACTGGCCAGTGGAGGAGGGGGATACAAAGGGAATGTGGTCTTGTCATACCCAGGGAGACTAAGGGCTCAGCCCTCACACCCAGTCTGGTCTGGTACCAGTACTCCTCCTCTCCCACTGGCACTGGCCTCTCTGCCCCCAGCATCAGTGTCTTACTCCTCCAGGAACCCCCCCCCCCGCCTTCCCAGATGTGCTGGGTGCCAGGCTGGCATTTCTCCTAGAATGTTTTCTGCTGACCCATCTCTCACTGCCCAGGGGCAGGAAGGGCAGAGAGGCCCTGGGCCCAGACCCCTGGGGTCCACCTCCTTCCTGTTTTCCCTGCATCCTGCTCTCCTCCCGCTAACAAGCTGCAGAAAATTGAGGAAGTGGAGCGGTCTGGGACTCAGGGCAGGAAGCTTGGGGCCAGAGTCCCAGCATCCGGACTGCAACAATGGAAGCTTCAAGCACCAGGAAAAGAGACAGACACAGACAGAGGCACAGGGAGAGCAAAACAGAGTCAGAGAGCGAACAAGAAACAGAAGCAGAGATACAGAAAGGCAGGCAGAGAGATTCCAAAAGTAACAGAAGACAGGAACAAAGACAGAAAGAGAAAAGGTGGCACACAGAGAGAAAGAGCAACAGAAAGAGACTGGGATGAAAGTGAGAGAAGCAGGGCAAGAGAAACAGAAAAAGAGAATGAGAGATAGAGAAAGAAACTGATAATGGGCAGAAAATATTGAGGAAAGGAGAACTCAAGAATGTTGCTGGCGAAACTAGAGGTTGAAGGGCGCAGCAGGCAAGAACAAAGAATAAGAGAAAGAAGGAAAGAGTCTGAGAAAGATTCTGAGGAACTGAGAGGCTCACTGAGAAATGAAAAAAGAAAAAGTATAAGAATGAGTTTAGGGCAAAGGGCCTTCGAAGCCTGTCTCTCCCACCCCCCTCTTCTCTACTCCCTTTCCACACCAGTTAGGTTTCTGCAGCTCCGGGCTGGGAGCCAAAACTTACTTCCTTCTGCCACCTCAAATGGCACCTGCCAAGAGAAAGGAGAGGGCTGCCTGTGTACCAGGACAGGAGAAGGTGCCCAGGCCTGGCAGAGGGACCCCTGTCTTCCCAATACCTGTCAGAGAGCTAGGTGAGCTGGCTTGGGGCTTTGGGGAAGGGCAACTCTGATGCCCCTCATCACCGAAGCCCCTTGACTTTGCATGTCCCACTCCACCTACCACAATGTCGAAAGTCCAAGCCCTGACTTCTCAGACCCCTGGGGTTTCACCGGTGGCCAGGGCGAGGGGAGGTCCCTGGATCAGGAACTGAAAGCCCTCCCCCACCCCCACTATCACCACCACCCCGTCCTCCAGTTATCCAGCTCGCTTGCAGGCTGCGGGCTGGGCCAGGTCATTTAATTTTCTACTCTTGCACCAGCAGCCAAGACTACTCTTCCCAAAGAGGCACCTTTGGCAGGTCTGACACGGAGTGATGGGACAGAGTCCTCCTTGATGGTGGCAACAGGCTGCTGGGATGGGGGTGGGGAGTCCTCGATAACAGTTTCTTTGCTTGAGCCTGTCCCATGCCAGTAGGGCCCTGCCACGTACCTGCCTTCTCCTCAACTCACAGGGGCTTTTCAAGGGCCTTCCAGGCTAGCCCGATTGGGGAAGGGGCTTCTGGGAGGGGAGCACACCAGGGAGGGCGTGCAAGGGCAGAGGCACCTTACCAGAGGGCTGCAGGCTTTCCTGGATGGCCTCGATCTCCGCCAGCTCCATGCACACGCCTTGCCCATGCATCAGCGTATGCAGGGGCTTCTCCACCCCCCGGGGCGGGTAGCAGCGCAGGCCTGAACCGCAGCGGGGGGTATACACCCCGCAGGGCATCCCCTTGCCCAGGGCGCAAGTGGCGCAACAGCCGCAGCCCGGCTCCCGCACCAGCTCCTCGCAGCCCACGGGGGGGCGGCAGCGCGCCAGCTTCTCCTCGGAGCAGGGCGGGCAGTGGATGGCTTCGTCGCCCAGGCTCGGCCCGGGCCCGGCGGCCAGCAGCAGCGCTGCCACGAGGCAGAGGGGCAGCATGATCCGGCGAGAACCCGGCGCGGGCGCGGACGCAGGCGGGGAGCGCGGGCGCGCGGGCTGGCAGCAAGGGGCACACAGAGGCAGCTCTCGGCGCGCCTGGTGGACCCGACCCGGAGAGCGCGGGGAGACGGGGCGGCCCCGCTGGAGGACAGGGACGGAACCACAGAAGTTAGCAAGCAGGCTGGAGGGGAGCGAGCCTGGCAGCCGAGGCGCTGCGCCGCATCCTCGGCCGGGCTCAGGCGGTGGGTGGCGAGAGGGCAGGGGGCTGAGCGGCTGCCCGGGACCAGCTCCCCCGGACTTTATACAGGCCCCTAGCCACACCCCCAGCGCCTTCCCAGAGGTGGGGGAGCGGGATGGGGTGGGGGAGGGCGAGGGGGAGAGGGAGACGCAGCCGTTAGGGGGAGGGGGCGCTGTCCTGAGTCGCCACCGCAGCTACAACATCTGAAAGTCCTTTTCTGCCCAAGAAGGAAGCGGCGCAGTTTGGACGCCCTGATAGGCGCCGAGAGCTCCCCTGAACCAGAGCCCGGGAGGGGAGAGAAGGGAGAGGGGAAGCGAAGGGGCTGTTCCTTGGTCCCCTTCCCCGACCTTGGAGGATTCTTTCCGGACCCACCAAGTCGGCCCACAGCCCCCCCCACTGAGAGGCCGACCTCCAAGCCCGTACTCCCTGCTCCACGGATTCAATCTCCCTAGCCAGTCCTTTCCACCCCTCCCCAGTGCTTCCAGTCTCAGCCGCTGGAGATCAAGTCGGGTGAGGTGGGGGAAGGGGTACAGGCACCCAACAAGGGGCCCAGGAGGGCCTAATGGCTCTAAGACGTTAGTAGGCTCTCTTGACTCTTGCCGCTTCCAACCTCCCTCCTCCCGTCTCCCCGGGGCTCCTGGGGGTCCTGGTCCAATCCGCCTTCCCCAGGATAGAATCACCAAACTCCCTGGGAGGGAAGTCCCCAGCCTCTCTTCCTTCTCCCTGGATGTTTGCTTTTACTGCCCAGACCCACTCCCAGGGGGAGATTGACTAGAGAGCTTGCCACCCGCAGTGTGCAAATTATGCATTGCACAACTCCAGGGGGCACCATTTCTCTGTGGTCACTGGAGATTTGTATAGCTGTTGTGACGGTTTTCCAGCAGATGACAGTCAAAGATTTTGAGGAAGGGATGCCTTTAACTAATTCACTCATATTGCTGTCTGGGGTTGGCTAGACCCTCTGTGAGATCTTGTTGGTGCCTGTATCCCCCACACCTGCCTCAATCTTGCTGACTGGGACCAGCCCTAGGGTAACATTTGAAGCAGGGACCTATCTCCTAGGTTCTCTCCCAGATCCCCCTAATACTCACCCATCCTCCCCCACAAAGGCTTCTGCTCTCCTGGAGCTGGCCTCAAAGTGAGGGCGCCTGTCCAGGCATAATTGGTGACCCTCTGTAGATTTTTTTGGCTTGGCCTAGAAAGCCGTAGGGCAGCTAAACTGAAGTGCAGATCAGACGCCCTCTTTCTGCTTCCTCTCCCAGAACAGGGGTCTTTCGGTCTCACAGGGATGGGGCCCTCTCCCGCTTTCTGCAAGTGTAGACTGTCCAGGTGATAGGAGGAAGAGAGGAGTGGGAGGCTGGACCTGCAGGGACACAACCAAAAGTTACAAACTGACGGCACCTACTGGCAACAATCAAGACTGCAGAAGGGCTGGAGAGTTATGGCCAGGGACAAGATTCTAGGATTCTCTCCATGTCATCTCGCAGACAAACTGGAGTCTCTCCTGCCCCATCTGCCTTGGAGAAACAGATCCAGGTTCCTCAAATCCCTGAGGGAAGCCCAGTCTGTCCCAGAAAACTACCCTAAGCCCTCTCCCCACTCCTCCATGATACTGGACCCAGTTCTGCCAACAACTTAATGTATGAACTTCGATGCCACCCCCTAACTGTTAAATGGAGGTGGACCTTCTCCACCTGTCCTACCTCTTAAGCTCTTATGAGAATAAAATGGGACCAGGGAGGATGGTTCTGATCCCAATGTCACACTTGTCCCCTAGAGAGCAAACCTGGGAGGGATGACGGTGCTGGATCATGGAAGAAGGAAGGCAGGAGAGGCTGGACTGAAGCCAAGAGAAATGCCAGGGGATGAAGTGTGAGCGCAGGTGAGCATGGAAAACCTGGAAAGGTTTCCAGGCAAGTCAGATGCTCACACCTCTATCCCAGCAACGCCCCCCAATCCATCCCCTGATGCCCCTCATCACTTTGGGTAATTCCAAGGAGCCAGGAGAATGGACACAAGGAGACCTTCCAAGCACCTCGTCACCATTCACACAACACACATTTACTGCACATTTATTGTGCGCAGGCTTCGTGCTACCTACAGGGATTACAGAGATGGCCGAGACCACTCTCTGCCCCCAAGGAGCTCACTGCTTAGAGAGGAGAGGTAGGCATATAAATAAATAAGTCTAAGAGGTGTGCAGGTGTGCAGGTGTGCCCTGGGAATATTTATATGGGGCATAGTGGGTACCCAGAGGCAGAAGTGGTCAGTCAGTTCTACATCCAAGACATGGAAAGACCTCATGGAGGAGGTAAACCTTGAACCAATGTTACATGGTCTTCCATGTTACCATCAGGCTGACTTAGATTCTAATCCCAGTTTTGCCACTGGACTCACTGGGTACTTGAAACAAGTTTCTTAAGCTCTCTGAGCTTCATGGTCCTTACTTGGAAAATGGGGACTTTGCAATAAGAAAGAAGAGTGAGGAGTAGATAGAGGGAGAGAGAGAGATCTCTGCAAAGTGCCCAGCACACAGTAGGTACCAAGTGTTTGCTCCCTCCTAATTCTCCTTCCTGGAAACTAACTTCCCCGCATGGCTTGAGATCCCCTGGTAGCAAGACCTGTGTCTCCCCCACTGGACCGGAAATTCCTGGAAGACTGGGTTTAGTGTCCCCCCGAGGCCTGCTAGTGCCTGGGAGAGGCTGTATATATAAAAGGGAAAGA